TTATTAGATATAACTTGATAAACAAAGTATGATACATAAATAATTAGGTATAAGATAGTAAATACAGAAAAAATGAATTAATTTCAAGACATAGGTGAATTTTGATGTTAATGCCTTGAATGAATGTACATAGAACAAAGTATTTCTGTCTGTTCTATTGCTTCCTTCTTTTGACAAATGTGCATTGAGGGCATTAAACATATGAAATTTTTCACAGGTCACCCAAATGAATAGCTGCATACCCAAATTTTAAATGAATAGATATTAGTCAACATAATTTGTTGCAAATGTTGAATCCTCAAGTAGTAGTTTCATTTTAATTGAGGCAGTAATAGTAAGAGTTACCATATAATTGACCATAGTAAGGATTACTGAAATATAAATCACTATATTTATAAATTATTATTATAAAGACCACTAATATTAATGAGATATTTATGTTAGAATAGTTTTAAGATTCAAGCTATAAAATGTTTTATGAGTCATAACGTTTTAATTTGTACGTCATTTCTCCTTTCAAATGAAACAATGTTGCTCTAAGTGTGATCTATTCTGCCTCTTTAGTAAATAAAATAGCTCAGTTCCCATTTGTCTACAAGTCTCTTATACCTTCGAATACATTGTTTTGAAAGAGACATTCAAAAAGAGAGACGGGAAGAGAAATGGTTTATGGAAATAAGAAATATATGCTATTATTTGCATGGTTACAAATATATGGAGAAAAGAGTATATTATTGCTACTGTTAACATTTACTTTTAAATGAGCAAACTTGAAATACAAATATTAAAGAAAATTTTAATAGCAAACTTCTTGAAGGCAGAGAATGCATGTTACCCAAACCTGATACATTTCCTGTAACGTAGTTCTTTATTAAATGTACTATTCTAAGTTACATTATAAGAATTAACTTCTTTAACTTTGTAAGATGGTTACCTGCATATATAAGGAAACTGATGTTAAAAAAATTTGTCCAAAGTTCTATCACTAGGAAGCAGAAGAACCAAGATTTGAACCTGGGCATCAAGGCCATGTGCTCAAACACTACACTACAGCGGCCTCTGCAGAATTCATTACATAGATGATAAGCATTTCAGCAACTTGAAGAAACAGCACAGCATAATGACAAAGGACCAAGAAGACATCTCAATCTACTCTTAGCTTAGAAAAATGAGTCATGCTACATAATTAAGTAAATGTTACTTTATAAATTTTCTCCATCTGAATGTGCCAACTACCTATTTAAAAAGAATTCTGTTGTGCTAATAAGTTAATAATCAATTGGAGTTTCATGGAAATAAGGTACTCTGAAAAACACTCAATGTTAGTAAGGTCAACTACTTGTAAATTTTAACAGTTGTTTCTTGTGCCATATCAACATTAATTACATCAATTAATTACCAATTTTGGTCCATAGGTATTTGCCTATTTTGTCCTCATTTGAAGTTTAGGTCAAGGAAATGGGGATTTTATTCTGAAATAAAAGTTATAATTTGGCTAAAAACCTTACCCCCCCAAATGTGCAAAATTTCACAAAATAAAGACTACTCAGACTTTGAATCCCATGTGTTAACTAGATTAAACAAATTTATCTAAAAACACACCTTAGTAGATATTTAAGAATATTACTCTAATTCTACATTAATAAATATTACTGACAAGATGATATAAGAATAATGAATAGGCAGTTATTAGAGTACCTCTACTTGGAACAATTCCTCTGAGAAATGGAGTGTCTTCCAGGGCATATGTAAATGACAAAGGCGGATAGGCAATTGAATTAACAGAGATCTTCACATCGACCACTCCCGCTGTCCCTGCTGGGGTGCGGCAGTAGACTTCACTGGAGTTGACAAAAATAATTTGACAAGGGTTCTCCCCAACAATGACTGTGGTGTTGCCAGGATAGAAGCCATTTCCTGAAATTGCCAAAGTAGTTCCACCACCAATGCTTCCAGAAGTTGGTGAGACAGATGCCACCGCGGGGCTGCTGATGGTCAGGTTTCCCAGAGCCATGCCTTTAGTTCCCACCACAACACTAACAGAATGAAGTCCAGCTGGGAGAGGAGTCATGAGAAGAGTGAGGTTATTTTCATTAACATCTATTGCTCTGAACTGTTGATTTCCAATGAAAACAGCAATGTCCTCCAAGATAGACCCAAAACCTTCTCCTTCGATTAAAACTTTCACAGATCCTTTGATAAAATTTGGGAAAATTCTTGTTATATGAGGAGTGATGCTTTCTAAATATGAAAAGCTGCAGTTCCCCTGACACTGGGCAGGCACTCCATGTATTAGAAGATTTACATGCACAAGCTGTTGGGGAGCAGGAGATGTCTCACATTCAATGGCTGTATAATTCACCGAAAGAATTTTACATGGGAAACGACCCATAAGGACTTCTACACCTGCAGAAGAAACTGTGAACCCAGAGCCTTTGATGGTCACTCTTGTCATCCCTGTAGGTGATCCTGCATTTGGCAATACCATGTCCATGTTTGGCAGAAGTACAAATCGCCTATCAAATTCATTGGACCTTGTGTTGATAGCAGTGCCCAGGTTGTAGACAGTCAAAGTGACAATTTCCCTGATGCCAACATCCATTGAGTTTTGAGGGTCAATATAACACATAATAGAACTGTCACTACTTTCTTTTACGACACAGGGGTAGCTACCAATTGTAACCTGAAAGTGAAATGAATATGAAATAATACAAATCAATATATTTATACTCTAGTATGAATTTAAATTTTGTATGTATTAGCAACAACTGTAACTATAAAAAGCTAACTGTGTGTAAACTTTAATTATAAAATCAATTTTGGGGGCTGATTAAGGCATACCTTGGATTAATACTGAGACTAAATTATGATTGTACGTGAATGTTCATAGCTACATTATTCATAAGAACCAAAGATGAAAACAGCCTGAATGTCCATCAACTGACAAATAAAATGTGATATGTCATACACTATAATATTATTAGGTCATAAATAAATTATTATTAATAGATTGTACAACATGGATGAACCTTGCAAACATTATGTTAAGTGAAATAAGCCAGTT